CCTGCCACTACCGGTCTGCGAGTCTGTGCCCCATCCCCAGCGAGCAAGGCTGTGGCTCACCGGCGGTGTAGGATCCCCATGGCCAGGCACCCTCCTGCTGCCGTTTATCCTCCAATATCTGCCCACAGAATCATGGCTCCCCGCTTCATACCTTGATACCAACCACCCGTGATGTTCTGTTTGTAGAGGCCCAGATCTTCTTACATCTCAGGCTGATTTCGTGGGTGCTCAGAGTGGTCTGGTAGATATCCAGCTCAATTCCGGGGACCAGTTGAAATAGGGTCCCCTACTCCTCCGCCATCTTTTTGTCCTCTCTCCAATTTTTTTTCTTTACCCAAATGAGCAGGAAGCCAACAAATTACACAGTCCAGTCTTAGGGCATCAAGGTCTTCCACAAATAGGAAACATCAGTTGAGTCTCCAAACTATAAGAACTACAGGTTTCACATCAAAGCCAGGTAGCACTTTAGCTCTTAAGCATCCAAAGATATTCTCCATAGTGAGCAATGGAATGAAAGAAGAATTGCAATTTTTCTCTCTGCCTTTTCCCCTTTTTCTTTTTCCCTCCCTCTTTCTTTCCCTCTCTTTCTCACTCTACCCTTCTCTCTCTCCTTTTTTTATTACACATCTGAAACTTCTGAGTTTATACATAATGGAAAAAATTATCTTAGCAAAAGATGTTGGAAAGTCCCCTTCCTCCCTCAGCAAACAATTTAGACAAAAGGTTCTGTGATGGGGGGGAGGGTTGGTGTGGGTGGGGGTTTGGAGCTTGGCAGTCTGAAGAGGAGAAGAAGGTGACAGCTATAGCTTTGACTTCTTCTCCTTGCCAGGAAGCTTGGACAGTCCTGTGTGTCCCTTTCCTAATGCCCATTTTGCCAATGTCCCAAATACAAATCATGACAGACAAAGCAAGTTTGGGGGCTGACACAGCCACTGAGCAACAGCCCTCCAGTATGTTGACATTTAGTGGAAAGGAGAAGTTGCTGAGTCTGAATAAGATTCCAAATCAAGTACCATAGGAAAGCCTTGGGCTAGGAGTTTAGGGATGGACCTTTTGCTCATATGATACCTCACTGTGGCTGTCCCCACAGATAGGAAGGGACTTTGCTCTCTGCCACAGAACTCCATTTGTGCCTCTAGCATGGAGTTAACATTGCCTTGTAATTGGTTATTTACTTTTTGCCTCTTCCACCCCTTTTCTTTCCCCTATTTATGTACTGGGACAGAGTATTTCTTACTCTTTGTACCTCCAGTGCCTGGCACATAGCAGCCACCCAAATCCTGGCATCAGGATTTGGTCTCATGGTCTGTCATTGACTTACTTGGTGACCTTAGATTTTAACTTCTCTGAGCCTCATGTGTTCTATTCTATACCTAGGCACATGCGATATAACATGATGTATATCAGTCTTTATTTATGTCTTTATTTAATATATATTTTCTTCTATATTTTTATTTCTGTTTGTATACAAAAACATAATGATTTAGTCTTTTAAGGAGTAAAAGCTCTACAAACTCAGTATGTTGGACCCATTTCCTAACTGTCCACAACTACTAGCTTGATGCTACTAGACAAAAATATAATGATTTTTTTTCCTTTCTGCTTCAATACTCTCATCTTAAATTTAATTAAACCATAACAGAGAGTCTTTAATGTCATAAGCTCAGACACTGTGAACATTTTGCTAAGTAAGTTCAAGTTCAACCTACCATGTCTCCATTCCTCTAGGTCTACATCAGTGCTTTGCAGAGTTTCTGGAATTTTTATGAGATGGAGCTGTGTTTAAATTCTCTGGTTCCCATAGCGTCTAAAAATGCTGTCATTTATTTTTTAAATTAATATTACAATTTTGTTTTGAGACTTTCACATGTCCTGAAAAGCTGGGTTGAGAATCAGTAGTCTAAGAAATTTATGCAAAATTATGTACAATAGCGCACTAAATACTGCATTTAATTGCATGATTACCTCCCTGCCTCTCTTTGGAGATTTTTTTTTCATTTTATTTTGTTCTGTTTTGTTTGTTTGTTTGTTTATCTATCTATTTATTTATTTATTTGGCTCCACACCCAATGTGAAGGATTCTTTTGATTTCAAAACCGAAGGACATAGGGGTGCCTGGGTGGCTCAGCTGGTTCAGTGTCTGACTCTTGACCTCAGCTCAGCTCTTGATTCTCAGGGTCAGGAGTTCAAGCCCTACATTGGGCTCCACACTCGGTATGGAGCCTACTTAAAAAAATAATACTAGTAAGCCAAAGGATATAAGTGACAATAAATGCAAGCTTCAGAAACCTGAGTTACTCCACCTTTAGCAATCTGTTTTAAGCTTTGAAAAATTTACTCTCCCACTTTCATTGGCCATTGAATGGTAGCAAGGTTGGTTGGAATTAAGATTTCTTAAAATGTTTCCACTGACTCACAATTCTCTTTAGCCCTGAAAAACATCTTTTGAATGGAAAGACTGCTTTTTGCAGCAACTTGTTTCAGCAGGAAGATGATTTGTAAGGGGATTAAAGTTGTTTTTGTGTTTACCAACTTTATCCTTTCACTTGGAAGTTTAGAACATAATGCTTTTTGATTCTTGGAGAATTTTGAATTCCCTGCTGACAGCTCAGTTTATACTCATTTCTCATATGTTGTGTTTCTCAATGCATGGTCGGGAGACCCTGTACTCAAATCTCCTGGAGCTCTTGCTAAAATGCAGATTCTGGGACCCTCTCTCAAGGTGAGACCCAGGAAGCTGCCTTTTAAAATGCATGCTGAAGGGCGCCTGGGTGGCTCAGTTGGTTAAGCGACTGTCTTCAGCTCAGGTCATGATCCTGGAGTCCCGGGATCGAGTCCCACATTGGGCTCTCTGCTCAGCAGGGGTCTGCTTCTCCCTCTGACCCTCTTTCCTCTCGTGCTATCTCTCATTCTCTCTCTCTCAAATAAATAAAATCTTTAAAAAAATAAATAAAAATAAAATGCATGCTGAAGTTTGAATGCAAATGCAGAGAACTTGCAGTGAGCTGGGGGAGTAGATCATGCTCCTATCCTATGGCAGGTGAGAAATTTATAAATAAGAAAAAGAGTAACTGATAATTGAGGTAAAGGGAGAAAATGCATTAAATACCTTACCTGCAGTATATTGCTAGGAGTTGGGGAGATACGCAGAAACTTCCTGCATCCTTACACCAAGATTAGGGCCCTTGTGCATATATTCTTCCAGGGGGGTAGCATCAATAATAATTTCAGACTAGAGTTAAGGAAAACCACTTCTTTACAGTCTGCAGACTGTGTAGTTATCAGGTCCAATCCATGTCTGGCTTCACCTCATTGATGTTCCAAACACTTCTCCCTGAGAAACCTACGTTGGTGCCCTCTTCCAACCTAGTAAACCCCAGTGATCAGTCACAATCTGCAGAAAAGGCTGAAGAGCTGCTCAGCATCTGCACAGCCTCCCCGTTCCAGCTCCTCTCAGCTGGTACCACAGAGTGCGTGCTGCTAATGCCCTACTGGCTGGATTTGGTTCAATGGTATGTTTAGGTCTGTATTTTTAAAAAAATTGAATTAGGTGTCAACCTAGGTACAATTAGGTGTAAAAGTAACATTTTACATGAAAATATTGATTTCCAGTTTCTTTTTGAAAAAAATCAAAAGATCTGGAAAAACTGGCAACTTTACAGTGGTTGTCCCTTTAGATGAGATATACTGCCTCCTTTTCTATGGCCCCTACCTGGCCCCTCTGACCCCTATGCATTATCTGCCCAGTCCTTCTAAGGATCAGAGTATAGCTGGGTCACCCAGGTGCAGGCGGTGTTTGTGTGCAGAGCAGTGGTTCTCCATGTGGCCCTGGATCAGCAGTTTTGACAGTATCACCTGGGAACTTGTTAGAAACGCATATTATGGGCCTCACCCTAGATCTACTGTGTCAGAAATTCTGGATGTGGGCCCAGCAATCTGTGTTTAACAAGCCCTCAGGTGATACTGATGCATGCTAAAGTTTGAGAACCACCACTGTGGAGAATTTAACGATAATAATAAAAGAAACTAAAAGTTAGTCTTTTTATTATCACAATGTGCCAGCAATTTTAAACTATATCAGTGATGAAATACTCCACCTCACCATGATGGACAACTCCTGAAGTCCCCACTAGGCTATGTGTCTCTGTCCTGTACAATCTGTTGTCATTCCATTCTAGGGATGGAGAATATCACCCCCTAAACCTATGCAAAGCACCAAACTAAGCTTTCACCCACCCCTCCCCACAATAACTCAGGGTGCATAACTTAGCCTTAGATTGACTTATCATGTTGCAACTTGACTTGGAAGCTCAGGCTACAACCACAACATTTCTACCACAACATATGCATTTGTAGTGTTTAAATATTTTGCTGTCATTATGGAAAAGGCAGAAATAGGCAGTGTGTCTGCTGCCAAGTTCCTCCTATGCTTGCCCTAAGATACCTCACTAATTTGATCACCTCCACTTGCAATCATTCTCTGAGGTTCTGGGGCACCTTTGTAGCTCAGTCAGTTATGCATCTGCCTTTGGCTCAGGTCATGAGATCAGGGTCCTGGAGTCAGGCCCTGCGTCAGGCTCCCTGCTCAGCAAAGAGTCTGCTTCTCCCTCTCCCTCTGCCCCTAACCCCCTTCATGCACTCTCTCTCAAAGAGATAACAAAATCTTTTAAAAAGATCATTCTCTGAGGTTCATTGTTCAGATTAATTCTTTTTCTCCTTCCCTTCAAAAATATATATTGACTAATGGGTGTCAGGCACTGTACTAAGTGCTTTATCTTTAGTTTTAATTCCTACAACTCTTGAGAGGTAGGTGGTATTATCTTCATTATTACAGATGGGATTCAGAGAGGTAAAGTAATTAGCCTGAGGACACATTGCAGGTAAATGGCAGAACCAAGATTAAAACCTATTCTTAAAAATAACTTCAGCTTTCTTCTCTTTTCTTACTGAACTGAATTCTTTTTTTCCCACCCACTGACCTTCATGCCTTCACATTTCAGGATAAAAATATTCATTCTGGCACTCAAAGTACCTTAACAGGAAGATGTCCATTTGAGGGGTTTGGTCACCAGGACAGCAAATTGCCTTTTCAAGAGAATAATTGTGAACCTGTGGTAGGTTGAGATCCTGCATCTTGGCGTTTATTATACAGCTGCTTTTAACTCAAAGGAATAAAATTATTACAATTTAAAGAGCAAGAGCAATGTGAAAATACTTGATGCTACTAAACTGTACATTTAAAAATGGTTAAAATGGTAAATTTTGTTATGTATATTTTATCATAATAAAAAAATAAACAATAACAAAATTAAAAAAAAACAGGGAAGCACAGAGATTTTCTTAAATTGTGTCCTCATACCCAGATTTTCCAGGGTCAACGATGAAATCCCTACATGTAAGATCCAAAGGAAGAACTTGATTCTGGATACAATACTTTTGTCTTATGTCTTTAGTATATTTGCCTTTTTCTGAATGTAGATATATATAAGGGAGGAAAAAAAGCATCTGTGATTAATTGTATAAGCTGTTCAGTCCAACAGGGTAGCTGCTGGCCACATGTGGCTATTGAGCACATGGTAGTTTGAATTAAAATGTTCTAATACATACCAGATTTCAAAGGCTTGGTATGAGGAAAAGAATATAAATAATTCATTAATGATTTTTATATCAATTACATGTTGAAATGATAATATTTTGATATGTGGGATTAAATAAACTATATAATGAAGATTAATTTTACCTGTTTCTTTTTATTTTTGTAATGAACCTACTAGAAATTTTAAAACCACATATGTGTTATACTCTATTTCTATTGGCCAGCACTGGTACAGATGCAGTATATCATAATGGTTTAAAGAACAGACTCTGTTCTTTGTACTGAGAAGTTTATGAACTTGGACAAGTAACTTGACTTCCCTGTAACTCAGTTTTCCAACCTGTAACATGAAAACAATGAAAATACTCCTAGAATTGTTGTGAGCCTTAAATGAAGGCCTAACACATTTCTGCTGTATTGACAATAGCACTGGCCTTTAGACACAACTACAAGGATCTATCTATGTGGTATAAATGTAATGTATATTAGTGGCTTTAAACAGTGTTCAAGAATTCACCAGTTAGGGCTTGGGACTTCTACTGACAAGGATAATGAAGGTATAAATAAGTTTCTGAGATTTGGGGAAGGCTGTTAGCTCTATTTTTTTCTACTCTTCCCCTCCCCCCAATGTTTCAACATACACACTTGTGAACTTTAACAATGATTATCTTGTTGGGTGGGAATTAAATGTGGGCACTTAAAAGTTTCAGTCCAGAGGAGTAGTATAAATATGATGCTGACCACTAACTTTACCCCTCTCCCAGAAACCTATGCACTGTTGCCAAGCCCATACTCTCCCTTTCTCATTCTCACAGGTTCCCAATGCTCCACCTGCCTATGAAAAACTCTCTGTAGAACAGTCACCACCACCTTATTCACCGTGAGAATGCTGAGAGATGATGAAATGAATTCCTTTACACTTTTGCTGGAATTTAATATGGACATCTAAAGTTCTGCTTCAGAATACTGTAGAAACAGTGTACATCATCTCTAATAATAAGCTTAGTGTTAAATTCTTAGTAGAGCAACTGGCAATACTAATTGAGGGAATGATGAGAAATCTTAAAATGGAAAAAACTTTGTCAATAAACATTGTAATGCCTGATACTATCTGTGCTAGTAGTAATTCTAATAAATTTATGGTGTTATTTTCTGAGACAGAGTTCAAGTGTGTATTCTGGGACCATTCAATTTCTTTTCAGTTGAAATTTGGCTAATACCTAACAAACTACTATTCTGATTTTTGAAGAAGCAACCTTTTGACCAACAAGAAATCTTAACAGAATTGTTGCAGATGAGTCTGTGCCATGAAGTGCTCACAAAGGATAACTTTATAGGTTTAAGACGAAGAGCTGATTGACTTACCAAATTATAGTCAGATTCATCTGATTAGGAAAGTGTCAGTAATGTCTCTTTGTGTTCTAAAATTTCATGATGCTAAAATAACACATTGCAGAGATCCTATATCTTGAGTAATACATATAATACAGTTTTAATTACATTTCACTTCAAGACTCAATGCTATCACAATTAATGACAAAATGCTTTTGTTAAACCAGAAGGTGGTATAAGGTAGTTTGGTTGATGTCTTGCCTAAAATGTTCCAATGGCAATTTAGCTTCTTTGGGCTGCCAAAGCCCTCTCAAAAAAACATATAGAAGTAATCATAAAGGATCAAAGATTCTAGAATGGTGTGGAATGGTGGAATGGGGCATAACAACATTAAAATTTTTTTGTTGACAACTACATATCACCTATACTATTATTTATCTAATATTTATTCTTTCAGTCAACTCATTTAAAAAAATTTTTTGGCTTAAATTATCACCACCCTAAATGGAAAATCAGGATCATCTTCCATAAGTAGAAGATAACCATAAAAAAGAAGATAATAAAAGTATTTTTATTCAGACCTAAAAGGATACCGATGATCACAGAAGGCTGAGACCTGCTCTTTTTATTTAAGAGGGAGATTAGCAAGAAACAAGAGCTTTCTTGCAAGAGAAAGAAATTACTTTCTTGCTATGTGACTCAGTGTTATTTAATGCTGAGTCAGTAAACCACCTAAAATCATCTTGTTTCATCAGAAACACCAGTGTAGCATAACTGCTTCATTTTCTACCCAAGACAAGATTGCACTGAAGAGAAAAAACATTGAATAAACAGACTTATACACATTGAAAAAAGTCACTGAAATACTGAAATACCTCCCTACGGTTCCTTATTCTGTCCAGTCTTATCACTTAAAACAAGCCCTCTCCCTTTTCAACTAATAAATGAATTCTAAAGTAAACTTCAACAGAATTTGGCCAGCTCCTTTCCTCATCACAAGTCCTAGTCTAAGCCTCAATCCTCCACATCTATAGAACGTATGGCTTGAGTCGCCTGAGTGGCTGCAGTCAGCATTTTCTCCTTGACCAAATGTACTGGACAAATAATATCACTTATCACTATTTGTGCAGTTAGCAGAGCAAAGTTAGAGAGTTCTGTTTTATAGAGCCTGGGCTTCCCTCCTCCTGCTCTGCACTAGCCTTTGGATAGTGTTGTCTGATGCTTGAGACAAGGCCCAAGTCGCTATGTGTTTCCACAGGAAATTCTATACTGCCTTTTTTTTTTTTTTTTTTTAACACAGTTAACTGAGCAGACATACTTTAAGGAGAAAAAGAAAAAAGAAGATCCATCCCAAAGATTTTCTGCCTGGGGTTAAAGTAGGTGAAGAGACTAGACTGATTCACAAACCAATGAAGCCCTCAAGTCACCTCCAGTGAAGACCAGTCCTCTGAAATCACAAACACTGAATTTTGTAGCACTTATAAATATCTGGACTGGTCCACCCATCACTTGAGAAAAAAAACCAGAAGTGAGTCCCCTAAACTTCCATTTTCATGGCTTGACTTTAAAGACACACAGTCACTTGAAGATGCAGCAAAACTCCTCAATCTCAAGTGACTGATGCCAAAACATCTTAAGAGCATCTCAGAAGAACATCCCTCAGAACATCCCTCATGATTGGTTTGGATAAAAACACTCAATTTTAAGAAAGCCTAAAACTGTTATTCTAAGAAGCTGTGCAATGGAAGAAAAAGTGTGGGGAATGAAGGAACAGAAAACAATGCTTGACAATTTGAAAAAAATTGAAAAAGTACTAAAGAATCAAATGTATGTTTTAAATTTAAATTATAAAAAGAGCCTGTTAAAATCTCTAAAACCACACTGAAGACAAGTTTGCTTGCTCTCTTTAGAGAAGATTATGTGGATGATGGCAACTTGAAATTAGACAAAGAGAAAATCAGAAAACTGAGAATCCCTGGACTGCCAATTAGAAGTCAATTTGAAGAACTACATTGATGCTGTTAATTTTTTCTTAATAAGGCTTGAAGGAGAAAAACAAGGACAACTTAAAAAGTGAAGGAAAATAAATGAATCAATCACTTTTAATTCATATGAGGGCTCTCCAAAACGAACAAAAATCTTTGCAGTCTAAAAATACTGCTTGAAATTCAAATTAAAAAACTTCAGTTACAGGGCACCTGGGTGGCTCAGTCGCTAAGCGTCTGCCTTTGACTCAGGTCATGATCCCAGCATCCTGGGATCGAGCTCCATGTTGGGCTTTCTACTCAGCAGGGAAACTGCTTCTCCCTCTGCCTGCTGTTCCATCTGCTTTGTACTCTGTCAAATAAATAAAATCTTAAAAAAAAAAATGGAGAAAAGCAAAAATAGCATTCAGCGTTTGTTTTGCAGTGAGCCTTTATAGAGGCAGCAGGCTCCCCAATGTTTACATGATTTATATATATGTTGTAGAACTATCACCACATTAAGTCTAGTTAATGTCCGTCCCCACACAGTTACAATTTTTTTTTTTTAAAGACTTTATTTATTTGTGAGAGGGAGGGAGAGAGAGAGCACAAGCAGGGGGAGCAAGCAGGCAGAGGGAGAAGCAGGCTTCCTGCAGGGGGCCTGATGCAGGGCTTGATCCCAGGACCCTGAGATCATGACCTGAGTCGAAGGCAGACACATAACCGACTCAGGCACCTGGGCGTCCCTACAATTTTCTTCTTATGATGAGAACTTTTAAGATCTACTCTTAGCAACTTTCAAACATGCAGTACAGTATTAACTTTCCTGTGCTTTTCTAAGACTGAGTCCTTGCAAGCCCAATTCTAAATACACTTTTAGTCCCAGCACAAATGCCACCTTTTATATGAAACCTCTATCACCTCACTGCTAAATTCCTAAGAGTTCTTTATTCCTCTGACCATTACTTTTAACTTGTTATATTCTTTTATTGTGTTTTGTGTTGAGGACAGGGATGGGATCTTATTCATCTATGTTGTTCCTACATCTTCTGTATTACATGGTTCTCAACAAATGTGTAGAATGAATTTACACCTCTGAATTTGAAACTTATATTGACAATGTTTTCCATTTACATTGATAATTAAAGAATGATATTGAGGATTACACACATAAAAACATACATTTGACTCTTTAGTACTTTTTCATATATTACTCAACTACAAAATTTTCTCACACTCAGACTTTGTTCCCAAGTTAAACTATAAGAACGTGAACTATGCCACGCCCTTTCAGCTTTGTCAATAAATTTGCGTTAACAAGCCCAGCACCATGGCATGCATAATAAATGCTTGTTGAATAAATGAGTAAAAATACCTGGGACAGATGACAGCATTATAGTAACAATGAGGCTTCAGGCTCAGGTGACAGCAAAACAACTTTTGGAATGACTTACAGTAAATTGTATAGTGTACTATACAATTAGTGTAATTTTGGATAACTCATTAAATTTCTTAGATCATTTTCAGAATTTGCTACATTCTCAAGCTTTTAATATTAAAGATTTCTTAATTCACTAAGTCAATGTGATATACTGGGTCAAGTAAATGTTTTCATTTATCTTCGTGTATTGCTTTAGCCATCACTGCTTTAATTATAAAATTACTGATGTCAATTAATTATTAAATGCACCAAAAAGATTGGAGGCTTGAAATGGAAACAGGGATCTAAAGAGACACTTGGTATTTTATATATAATTTTTTTTACTACTACAAAGGAGAATTGACTTTTTTTTTTTTTCAGGAAAAACCATATAGGAAATGAGAGGAAAGAGCTAACATATCAGAAAGAGATGTTACTTTAGCATGTTTTAACTTAGCGTTTAAAATGAGTTGACATCCAAATGTCCTAATTCTATATTATGTGTAGAAACATACTATTCCAGGACCATGAAGCTGTTCGGGTAGCACTGTAGTGACTTTTCTTCCTCTACATGAATGCCTTTATAAACAACTGTTAAAGAATACTTAATGATAACACTGAATACAAAGAACTGAGGAATTTGACTTTGTACTCTTTGGCCAAGGGCCCAGAAATCCACATGACCTACCAAGCTGAAAGCAAAGGAAAAAGAATTTGGCTTTTGATTATATAAATCCATCAATTTAGTCAAATTTCTAGTAAAAAATGGAGTATTACTTTTAAAAAGTAAACCAGACCTTAAATCATGTAAGACGCTATCTAGATTTCTCACTGATTTATTCAATGACTATATATTTAATGTCTATTGGGTGCCAGTTGCTGAGGGGACAATGATGAAGACAATTGACAAGTTCTCTCTAAAAAGGAAGACAGGCATTAAATAACTGCATACAAATAATCTTGTTACAGTAATACAGTACTATGCCTTTCTTGATCTATGTCCTCAATCTATGAGTGACTGCGGTATCTCGATGCTGAGTGTGGTAAGGAGGGAGTTATGTCATATGTAATGAGATCTGTAATGAAACATTAAGTCAAAGAGAACATATAGGAAGACCTTGATTTGTATGGAACTTTTTAGAAACTGAAAGAAAACTAGAGTGCAATAGGCAAGGGAAGATTAAATTGAAAAGAAGCTGGTGAGGTAAGCAGGAATAGACTGAAGAGCCTTTTAAGCCCTAAGGGGACTGGGGGTGGGGGCCGGGTCTTCGTTCTAAAAAGTTCACCAGAACACAGAGTTTCAAAGGTCATATTAGGATTTTGGATTTAGGAGTTAGAAAAGAATTAGTGGTTAATAATTAGTTTAGGTCCTTCACTGGGATTAAAGTTGAGCCATAAGTAATTCAGTAAATTAGTTTCTGGAAATGGCTCAGAGAATTCTTTTCAGGCAAAAGATGAATAGTTTCAGGTTGTTTTGCTTTACAAAGTTGAGTATGTAAATACATTCATTTATTGAGCACCACCTATGCACAACGCAATGAGTTTCCAAACATCACCCACATCCCCTTGAAATTCAAGGTCCATCTAAATGGACAGGGAAAGAGGAGGGTGACTACATAGCAGAGCAAAGATTGGCAAAGATACTGTTTTAGAACATTAACTATAGGTTTTTGAGAGCCTTTAGCAACTTTCCAGGAACACCCTCACTACCCTCTCCACTTTGATAACTAATAAATTTCAATGTGTTTCAAAGGTAGTCTTTAGGTCTATTCTTCCTGAACATTTTCTTTTTTCTTTTAAAGACTTTATTTATTCATTTGACAGAGAGACACAGCGAGAGAGGGAACACAAGCAGGTAGTGGGAGAGGGAGAAGCAGGCCTCCTGCCGAGCACGGAGCCCGATGCGGGACTCTATCCCAGGACCCTGGGATCATGACCTGAGCCAAAGGCAGACACTTAACAACTGAGCCACGCAGGCGCCCCCTTCCTGAACATTTTCAAGCCCAGACTCCATGTGACGAGGTTTAACATCATTATAAATGTAATGTGGATGAGTATACAATCAACATCCCAAATAAGATAATGGATATAAAGATTCAATAAATATAAAATCTTTTTACTTTTTTGACTTTTAAGTATAAAATCTATCTTCTTGCTTTGTGTTTTGTTTTTTAAATATTTATTTATAACTAAGCAATTACACATTGTGTGCATGTATTCCCCATGTTGTGCCTTTGTTTTTTTTTAATTCTAATTCCAGTATAGTTAACATACAGTGTTATATTAGTTTCAGGTGCACAATATAGTGATTTTAGCAATTCTGTACACTACTCAGTGTTCATTGTGATGATAAAACCTATCTTTTATTTAAAATGAGGCATGGTCTGAAATACCACAAAGTCAAACCCTGAGAATAAGCTGACCCATAAAAACTGTTTGCTTTACAACAGAATATAAGCTCTGTAACTGGGGGAAAAACAACAACAACAAAAGCAAAAAATACTTATAAATAATTGAAGGTGTCCATATTCATTTGTTATTCTAAATTAAAAAAGGAAAATCATGTTTTATCATTTTGGAAAATCAGTCAACTATGAATAAACATCCCAGTATAAAAACAGATGGAAACTTAGATAAAGGGTACATAGGACCTCTTTATACTACAATCACAACTTCTTGTGAATCTAAGATTATTTAAAAATTAAAAGTTAATAAAACATATCTGGGGTGCATTAACACAGACCAAAAACATTGGCCTGAAAGAAGATTACTTATTTTGGTCAATGGAGAATTTGGTGGTGAAATAAGAGAAAAAACTTAAAACAATGAAATCTAGAGTAAAATTTTATAACAGAGGTAATGTACAACCATGGAAAAAGGATTTAAAGCATCAGGTCTACCATTAGCAGCTCAGGTCTACCACCCACTAGGTGGGTGACCTTGGATAACATCACTTAACCTTTCAAGAGTACTGTGAAAATTAAATGTCAAGTACAGTTTGTAAACTGTAAAACCTGTACAAGTGCTAGCCATTGATTCAAATTTTCCAGCCTTAATTCCTTTTTGTAAAGGGCTGTCTTCATTTTATACAATGTATTCTTTCAAAGGAATGAGAACGCACTTTAAAAATGGTATTCAAACAAAGAAATACAGCAACTCAATTTATTACATGCAGATTCCTCTGCATTGTTGCTAACAGTTCACTGGTCCAAAATTACTAAAATACTTAAAAAACTATACATTATGTAAACAAAACATAAATAAGACAGCATAGTTCTTTATACATATAGTTTAGTACAGGTTGTTAGGGATTTAGGAATATGTACAATTTTACATCATGGACTGCATTTTCACAATGCATAAATATATATATATATTTATATTTTTACAGAAACAAAAACAAGATTTCACTAATGACACAGAATACCATATTGTAGATACACGCTGCAATAGTCCAAATTCAAGAAGAAACATGTCAATGCAAGTGTGCAAAAGGTTAGCTTACTCCAAACTAGTGAAACTTGACTTTGTTCAATTTATGCAATACAGACAGGTAAATCCTAAATGTCTATTTTAAACATCCTTTTAAAATATACTCATATTAATGAGTGAAATGGAATAGATCTTTTCCTCCCCAAGAAAACAAAGCCTTGTTGCAAGCTAATGAAAAGATATATTAAAACATACACATAACTATGTATAGTGTGTTTTCAACAGTATAATAAAGTTAAAATTTTTATGGGAGTCAAAACAATGCCCCATTATTTAAAAACTGGCTCGTTTAGTCTAAATTCAAGATGCAGCTGTGTCGGGCTTCTCTAAGTCAGGTGAGTGAAAAGCAGGGAAGACAGAGGCAGGATTTCGACTGGCAGATACGACAATTTGAGAGAGAGATGGAGAGAGAGAAGAAACCTTAGATGCTGGAGTATTTATGGTATTCAAAATGGCTCCTTCTGGGCTAACCAACAATTTTTTGACTGACGTGTCTAACTGAAATACTGAGGTGCTACTTGACAATGGAGGATTAGTAGAGCAAATGGCAGAAACCAAAGATGTCTTAGCCAAAATAGTAGCAGGAGGAGACTTAATTACTGAAGTCAATGATACTGTTGGTGTGGGAGGTGGAACAGAAACTTTAGCAGTTGTGTTTATGATTTGTGGTGTTGTATGTACTGTGGGTAGAGGACTGGCATTCCCAAGAGAGTTTACAATTTTTGTAGAGCTTCTTAGAGAATGTTTCACAGGCTGCCCACTTAAAGAATTATTTGATGCTAGGGTAATCTTCTGGGCAGGGTTATCTACTGATGTAGGCAGAAGGCCTTGGCCACTGTTAAGAACTAAGGGAGGTCCATATTTTGGATTACTAGATATAAGAAGAACATGGCTGCCAGCTCCAAGACCTTGTGGTGGAACAATAAACCGGGTTCCATTAATCATGATCTGAGTGCCAGGTGCCAAAGGTGTACTGGTGTTGATGACTATTTTTTGCTGAATAGAAGGTTCACTCAACTGACCCCCTATCACACTATTTACATTTGATGGTGCTGTAGCAGTGTGAATGGCAGAACCACCTGGAGCACAACTGTGACTGGTGGTTGATTTTACTAAAGCAGGGGACATCTGCTGGTTTGGGAGAGAAGCAAAACTGGAAATATTAATTACTTTACCTGGACTTGGTGAAAGGGGTGGCAATTCAGTCTGAGGTTTATTTGTATTTATATTTGTTGGCACTGTAGTTGAAATCCCTGGTGACTGAAACTGGACAGAAGTCCAAGATTGTCTTTTAGAAAGAGATATAGAACGTGTGGCTCCTGGTACTGGTGCCACTTGTGGAACCGTGTTGATTACTTTAGGGGATATAGTCACAGGTGTAGGCAAAGCAACAGTAACAGGGATTTGCAAAGCTGATGTTAAACATTTAGGAGACACTGTTGGTTGTGTAGCTGAAATCAGAACAGATGATGCAAGATGTCCTGTTTTCACAGTTGATATAGCCACAGTGTTTCCGAGATTTGATGTGCAAAGTCTATTTGACAAAATAGGCATAATTCTTGAAGAGGTATCATTTCCACTGACTAAAACAGGAGGTCGTGTCCCAACTGAAGCAGAGGTTGAGGTCACTGAAAGAGAACCCAAAGACACATTTGCTCCTGTTACTGAAAACATGTTTACTGCTCTTGTTGCAGAAACCACTGATTCATTAACAGGAGTAATATTTTGACTCACAAAATTTGAGCTTACTGGAATTGAATTACCACTTGTTGACAATGGCAAGACATAGCCCTTGGTACTTTTTTCTTCTCCTTTTGGGGTTACATTTTGCAATATGTTAATTGATGGTATAGCTGGCACACTTCCTGAACTATTTACAATTGCTTGACCTATGTTTAGTCCAATTTTCACATCTTTTATCTGAGACACAGTTGGTGATGAATTTATTTTTATTGGTGCTCCCACTGTAGATGGAATTAGTACTATCTGGGGTTGTTCTGGAGTCTTAACATATGTTTTATTCAAGGGGGGAGGAAGAGTTTGTTTTAATGGCTCTGCCAAAATAGTTGGAGTTGAAGTGCCACTAGGAATTGGAGCATTAATAAAAACTAATTTCTGGGTAGAAACACCTGTGGATGTTGGTGCAGGTGTCACATTAATTGCAGTTCCACTGCCAGAAGAAAGAACTGACGGAGCTGACACAAGCATAAGTTTGTGAACTGCAGTCCCACTGATCACATCTCCACTTGCTGCTGTTGCTTCCGATCTTGTAACAGGGAAACTTTTTGTGAAGTAATCTACTTGTTGCTGTTTATTTGGAGTATGAGTAACATTTGCACTTGTTTGTCCAAAATTTCCTGTTGATATGCTAATTACACTAACTGAATTATTTGCTGTTGATGGTAGTAGAGTGCCAGAAGAAACAGAGGACTTCAAGGGAGAAGAAGGCATGTGTGAAGCTTTATCTATCATGTGGCCCAAATTACCACTGCAGGAAGGTTGGCCTAATGTAAGCTTGAGATTCTTTCCCACTGATGGATTAAAGCCAGATGGAATGGAAACAGAAGTTGGTGTTTGGCTAAAAGGTGGGAGACTAGAAGTAGTAGTCATTCCAACTGTGGGTGAAAAAACAGAGGATGATGAAGTTGTTGATCTGGGCACCAGAAATGCCTGAAGATGAGGAGCAAAAGTGAAAACTGAACTTGCACATAAGCTATTGGGTGAATTTTGATCTGGACTGGTCTGTACTTTTACAACTCCAGTGTTCCCACCTCGTGTCCTAACAAGAATTGACTGTGAATCTCTTATACACACAGTTTTCAATTCTTGCTTTGCTTCAGAACAATCAGCAGTTTGTTGTGCAAAACAGTTGAGGGAACTACCAGGATTTGGAGACCCACTTAGTGTTGTTGCTGATAACAGAGGCTGAACTGTTGAGGAAATGGTGGATGAAGCAATGGACTGGGAGAATATAGCTGCTGAAACTGCATTCTTGACTTTTCCTGACTCACTCTGGCTAGTCTTAACTGGAGGTGTTAATAAGTTACTTATGGAGGTTACAGGTGACAAAGGCTGTGGCCTACCACTACTCACATTTGACAAAGGTGTAATCGTCCTATTAGGTAGTTGGTTAGAAACAGTTCCTGCTGAGCTGACAAGAACTGATGCTAAAGAAGAGTTTACATTTGCTGTCTGTGGGAAAGATGAACAATGCTGTCCTGTACCTTTCTGTTGAAGTGGCAGTATTTCTTTTGCAACTGCTTTCCCTTCCTTGTGCTGAATCACAAAATTCTTGGGCAGAATGAGAACCTGCTGCATGATTTTTTCTCCTGTTTTAGGATCTAGCACAGGTTGCATCTGAATCTTCACAGAGCTGTTTTGGAGATCTATGGGCAACCACTGGCCACAAGGCATTTTGTATACCATTTGTAAAGGACCTTTTGTACTGGTGTGGCAGGTCAATGCTGGCTTTATGGGGCTTGCTTCTAGAGGAGATATAATTGGTTTATCCACTGCAGGAGCACTTCTACCTGTGGAAGGGGGCAGTTGATTTGTTAAGGTCACTTTGTTCCCAATATTCTTTGCAAGCAAGGCCTGAATAGGTTTGGTCCCTTTCTGGAGAATAGACACTGGTGTCGAATCCACTGAGGCAAGTGACTCTGGAAACAGTGGCTCTGTATGCCTTACTTCATTCAAACAGTCGATCTGCATCGCACCTTCTACATGCTCAACTGTTGTCTCATTTGTGCTTAACTTGGCTTTCTTCCTTGGGGAAAGCTCTTTTGTGCTATCATCCAGATAATTAATTTGTTTAGACGGTCGTTTAAGTGTTTTAGGCAGTATCTTCAGAACATCTTTAGAAGGCAATTCTTTTTTCAACAACTTGCTTCTGGCCATAGGAAAATCTATTTCTGACAGTTTCATATCATCTGAAAATTATAAAAGCAAGCATTTTGTTTAAATAAAACAGCAACTGAATAGCAATAATAAGACCAATTATAAAAAAGCAAGTCAATCTCTGAACTGGCAATTTATTAAGAAATCTACTTTAGGATGATTCAAAATTGGAAATTAAGGGAAGGCGATCTTTGATATTTTGATAGCATAACCAAACCATAACTATGTATTAATGAGAGAATTATTTTTGTTCAAACTCTACTAATTCTGCTGCCAATACAAATGCAAAGGAAAATTCACATCTCTTACAGAGATATTCAAACCAGCAATTAGAGCCTGGAATTCTAATCGTTTCAGAGACTCTAAAGGATAAAAAATGTTCAGCTTTTCCTGGTGTTTAATTATTCATTCCTACAGTAAAAAATTTACGTTCATATCTGGTCAAACTGAGTTGATGAGAAGCTACTCTTTTTCAATGCACCAAAGACATGAAAAACAACAGGTTAATACTTTCTAACCACAGATTTTTCACATTAACCTCTTATATAATGAAAGGAAGTTATTTAACTAGAACAGAAAAAAAATAACTAGATTTACAGAATAACATAATCTGATAAATTGAAATGAACTACAGATAATCTAATCCAGCCTCCTTATTAGAATGATATGTCCACTCTGAGGTCTCATTTGGCCATCAACCTTGGTCACTTCTCATAAAAAAAAATCTTCACAGTATTAGGGACTTGTCAAGTTCCATTTAAAACAAATATCAAAAACAGTGCTTCAAAAATAGTAATAATAAAAAGAAGAGGATGAACCTAATTTAGAGGTATTATAAAATCAAAGATGTGTGGTCTATAATGTGCAAAGACATGCCTACAGTTCAGAGGCAGGCACTGGCTCCAGAAACTCCTAGAAATATAATAATGACTCCAAGGAATCTTTTATAAGAACACAGGACACTTCAAAATATACCAAATTTTCCTAATCAATACACGTCATTACCCAGATTATCTTTTACCTCAACAAAAGATACTAAAACTTTTCTTTATGGTTTTAGTTGTTGATTTAAAGAAAAGTTTTCATAACTACCTGAATCAATGTGATCTTTCTCCAGGATATCTAGAAGTTCTGTGGAGTCTACAGACTTACTAATTTCTACTTTAGGAGATTCTTTTCCAGGATCTCCTTCACCTTCTTCAGTAGTCCACAGTTCTCTAGTAAATTTATCATGATCAGGCTGTCTTCTGAAATCATCATAGTCTTTCTTTAGGCGGCTCCTGAAATAAAATGCCCGACATAACAAACAATACATACGTATTAAACTCTTGGAAGCTAAACTAACTTTTATTAAACAATATCTTGAAATACTTTCAATTAAGTCACTAAAAGCTACATTATCAACAATAGCCAAACTATGGAAAGAGCGCAAATGTCCACTAACTGATGAATGGATAAAGAAGATGTGGTATATATACAGGACGGAATATTACTCAGCCATCAAAAACAATAAAATCTTGCCATTTGCAACAACGTGGATGGAGCTAGAGTGTATTATGCTAAGTGAGATAAGTCAGTCAGAGAAAGACAAATACCATATGACTTCACTCATATGTGGAATTTAAGAAACAAAACAGATAAACATATGGGGGGGGTAGAAAAAAAGAGAGCAAGAGAGAAGAACAAACCATAAGAGACTCTTAATGATAAAGAACAAACTGAGGTTGATGTCAGAATGTGGGTGGAGGATGGGCTAGATGGGTGATGGGTTGTTAAGGAGGGCATTTGTTATGATGAACACTGGGTGTTGTAAGTGATGAACCACTGAATTCTACTCCTGAAACCAATACTGCACTGTATGTTAACTAACTAGGATTTAAATAAAATTTCAAAGAAAAAAAGTCACTAAAAGCTATATTTTAGGGGTGCCTGGGTGGCTCAGTGTGTTAAACATCTGCCTTTGGCTCAGGTCATGATCCCAGATTCCTGGGATCGAGCCCTGCATCAGGTTTCCTGCTCGGCGGAGAGCCTGCTTCTCCCTCTCCCTCTGCTGCCTACTTGTTCTCCCTCTCTCTCTGTAAAATATATAAATAAAATCTTAAAAAAAAAAAACTATGTTTTAATCTCAAGTGTACCTCAGATGCTTTACTCAGTCCTGCCAACATTTATCTTTAAAGAGAAAACCTAGGGGGTGGGTAGGCATAAGAAACTGAAAAAGATTATATATACAATTTCAGAATAGAGTGTTCAAACATATCACCAATTTGTCTTTCTAAAGGCTGCTGATAGACCTATTAAATGAGAGAAAGGTAACTTTTTTCTAGCTGCACAAACAGAGAGTTGAAATAGTTTTATAATTACTGATTACAATATAGTGAAAAAGGCCATTTAAAAAAGTTAATCAGATTCTAAACACTCCACCAAAAAACTACTAGAACTAATAAATGAATTCAGTAAAGTTGCAGGATACAAAATTAGTACCTAGAAATTGGTAGTATTTCCATACACTAATAACAAAGTAGCAGGAAGAGAAATTAAGAAAACAATTCCATTTACAATTCACCAAAAAGAATAAAATGCCCAGGAATAAACTTAAACAAAGAGGTGAAAGACCTGTACTCTGAAAACTATAGAACACTGATGAAAGAAATTAAAGATGACACAAATGGAAAGATAACTATGCTCGTCGACTGGAAGAATTAATACTGTTAAATGTTCACACTGCCCAAAGCAATCTACAGATTCAATGCAATCACTATCAAAATACCAAAAGCATTTTTCACAAAACTAGAGGAAATAATACTAAAATTTGTATGGAACTACAAAAGACCCCAAAGTGCTCAAGCAATTTTGAGTAAAAACAAAGCTGTAGGTATCACAATTACAGATTTCTAGATATACTATAAAGCTGAAGTAATCAAAATAGTATGTTACTTAAACAAAACCAGACACACAGATCAAGGGAACAGAATGAAGACCCCAGAAATAAACCCACACTTATATGGTCAATTAATTTATGACATAAAAGGCAAGGCTATACAATGGGAAAAAGTCTCTTCAATAAATGGTGCTTGGAAAACTGAACAGCTACATGTAAAAGAATGAAACTGGACTGCTTTCTAACACCATACACCAAAGTAAACCCCAAATAATTAAAGACCTAAATGTGAGACCTAAAACTACAAAAATCTTAGAACCAGGCAGTAATTTCTCTAACACTGGCATAGCAACATTATTTCTAGATTTGTTTCGTTTTCTAAAACAAGGGAAACAAAAGCAAAAATAAACTATTGGGACTATAAAAATATAAAAAGCTTCTGCACAGCAAAGGAAACCACCAACAGAATAAAAAGGCTGAATGGAAAAAGGTATTTGCAATGATATATCCAATAAAGGGTTACTAACCAAAATATATAAAGAACTTAACAACTCAACACCAAAAAGCAAACAATCTGATTAAAAAATGGGCAGAGGACCTGAATAGACATATTTCCAAAGAAGACATACAGATGGTCAATAGACACATGAAAAGATGCTCAGCATCATCAGAGAAATACAAATCAAAACTACAATGAGATATCACCTTACACCTGTCAGAACGGCAAAAATCAAAAAGGAAGTAACACATGTTGGCAAGGATGTGGAGAAAAACGAATGCTTGTACACTGTTGGTGGGAATGTAAATTGGTAGGGCCACTGTGGAAAACAGTATGGAGGTTTCTCAAAAAATAAAAAACAGAAATACCATATGATCTGATAATTCCACTACTGGGTATTTACCCAAAGAAAAATACTAATTCTAAAGGATATATGCACCCCTGTGTTCACCATAGCATTATTTATAATAGCCAAGATTTGGAAGCAACCTAAGTGCCCATAGATAGACAAATGGATAAGGGAGATGTGGTATATGTGTGTGTGTACACACACACACACACACACACACACACCCTCTCTCTCTCTCTCTCACACACACACACACACACACACACAGGAATATTATGCAGCCTTGAGAAAGGATGAGATCGTGCCATTTGCAACAGTATGGATAGATCCAGAGGATATTGTGCTAAGTGATATAAGTCAGTCAGAGAAAGAAAAATACCATATGATTTCACTCATGAAATCTAAAAAAAAAAAAAACCAAGTGAATAAACATACAACAACAAAAAAGCAGAGCCTAACCTTATAAATACAGAGAACAAACAGATGGTTGTCAGAGGGGAAGGGGTGTGGGGGATGGACAAAATGCGTGAAGGAAGTTGGAGATACAGGCTTGCAGTTTGGGAATGAGTAAGTCACAAGAGCAAAAGGTATACCATAAGGAATACAGTCAATGATATTTTAATAGTGTTGAATGGTGACAGATGGCACTTACACTTTGGGTGAGCATAGCATTATGTATAAACTTGTCCAATCACTATGTTGTACTCCCGAAACTACTATAACATCATGTGCCACCTATACTCAAAAAAGTTGTTTTTTAAAAAGTTAACCAAGAAATTTTAGGAAACAGTACCTACTATTTTAGATTTATATAGAGAGTAGCAAATTTTTTTAAAAATCTATCATTTAATCCTGAGAGTAATCTAAACATTTTGATCTCACTAGAAATATTTTTTTAATTAAGTATAGAGAAAGTTGAAAAGTAATCTTTCAGAGACCCTTTTCACATAAAAACACAACAGCTATGTTTCCATAAAACTATGGAAAGATGGAAACATTTCCAAATGACACAATATTTTAGAGATCCTTTTACTTTCAACTGAGTTTCTCTATCCTACTCCTAAACTTTACCTTAGTTTATTTTGTTTAAAAAAATCTGAAAATATATTTTTCAATTTATATTTACTACAAATTCTTATTTGTGCATACTACGGTTTAAGTCTCACCTCTGCCACCACTGAAGAGCTATGAGACTTTGGGGAAGCTCCTTAAACTTTCAGTTTACATCTTACAATGTGGATAATAATAGTAGTTACCTCCTAGTATTTGTGGCATATAGGATAACTGTAAAATTAATTTCCTTTTAGGAATATCTACATGGGGGTTGTATGAAGTTCCTTCCTTTTCAGCCCTCTTCTCGCTCTCAGCTATTTTGGTTTATTTTCTTTTCAGGGAAAATAGAAGCAATCAGACAAGCCCATTCATATGCTCACATCTCATCTGCCACTTAAGACCTTCATTGGTACCCATATTCCATCTTCCTATCTAAACTAATCCCTCTCTTTATGCATCCTCTCTCATCTATCCACGGATATTACTCTACCAAATGTCCCTTCCTTTTCCTGAGTCCATTTTAGCCTCTCTATTAGCTCATTCCTACCAGTATACAGAATGCTATTTCTCCACTAATGAAAACAACTTGACTCCAACTTGTCCTTCCAGCTACTGCCCTATTTCTCTGCTCGACTTTGTAACAAAACTCCCAATTCCTCTCCCCTAATTCCCTTGAATAGACTCTACCTTACTGAACATTCCTTCTCAGTCTCTTCTGCTGAGTCCTACTCCTCTCCACCATCTCTAAATGTTGGAATGCCCCAGGATTCAGTCTCTCTTCTTCTCTATCTATGCTCACATTCTAGGTGATTTCTACCAGTCTCATAGCTTAAATATAATCTACAGCCTGACAACTCCTAAGTTTATGCCTCCAGTCTGGCTTACTCCCTTGAACTGGGACTCATATACTAAACTGCCTACTCAATAAGTCCAATTGGATATCTAAATATCCTATCAAACTTCACATATTGAAGTCCAAACTCTTGAATCCCTTCCCTGCAAACCTGCTACTCCTTTAGTTTCCCTTTTTAAAACTAATGACAATTCCGTAATTCCAGTTATTTAGAACAAAAATATTGGGCATCATCTTTTTACCCTTCATTTTTTTTGAAACTCTATATCCAATGTTTAAGAAAATTCTGCCAATCCTACTTTCAAGTCACATCCAGAATCCAACCATTCCTTGCCATCTGTGTTGCTATTGTTGGGCAACACCATCAAAAAGATGTGTACCGCCAACTGACCCCATGAGCTGGACCTAGGCACTCAAAGGCTCCTCATTCCCTCCCCTTGGAATGTAGGTTCTGATTACCTTTCCTGCTTCCAGAGGCTGCTCCAAGAACACAGCCTTGAGATAGTGATGTGATGTTGAAAACACCTGTATAATGTATGTGGCTGCAACCAGGTAAGGCTTCTTATATAAACTTTTAAGATCTGGTGGGCGGGTGCAGAGATCCATCTGCCACCCAAGACAAGCCTCATTGAATTTAAGTTCCATTTA